CTAAAGTATTTCAAATTTTTTTCGATTTCGGTCATTCCTTTATGAAATGAGTATATATCGAGGTCTATGAACATGGCGTTTTCCCAGATTTCAAGCCTTTTTACGACTGATCCTTGATTTGTCTATTTCAGCTCGACATCGAAGGTTTCCCATGGCAGAACGCGAATGTTCGATTGCCAGCGAGGTGTTCGAAGATGAAATGCCTGAGAACGGAATGCTGGTACGGCGTACTTTTCTTTCAAGGATTTTAAGCATCTTGAAAATAGGGTCTAATGAATATCACCGTGGCCTGTGTTGACGTGACTTTCACCAGAGATAACTAACCTGGAAGCCAGGGAATCCACTACCGTACTACTTGGAAGTTCGGGGTCACTGGTGCAATCTAATGGGAAATGGAACTGCCCTCTAGACTGAGCTTATTCCGAAAAGCTCAAGAAAAGAGTTCGCGAGCGAGTGCGATTCGTTTTTCTGTCATCTAACGATCGATGAGCCTGTACCGCTGCTGGCATTTTTGCTGTCTCTCACCCTGGCTCTTTAAAATGCGGGAAACCCATTATATTTGTGCAATTTTTCACCGGACCAAAATTTGCATGTGGAATGGCCATCGGCACAACGTTTTCCTTCCCATGGCAATAACATTTAAAGCGATGGATCGAATCGATCTCCCCCCTTATATTCCTTCGGGAAGTTTAATGTGTCTGGGCCAAGATGTTTGCTCATTTGCTGGAATATGAAATGTGAGGTGTAAAAAGACAGACCGTGAAGGAAAAAAGGAAAAGGATTCACCGAAAATGCTTGAAATGAGGATCATCCATTTTTGTGCTATAGAGCAGCATAAGTGGGCAGACAGCGAGATAAGATATGCTGGGCGTTAAGGAGAGGGAAAAGAAGCGGGAACGAGAAATTATGGAAATAAGCGAGAGCGAGTTGGGCCTACGACGTCAATTCCTGGGCGGTATCCCGTAGCATCATTGGTCCTCTGCCTAACAATTTCATGGCACAAATTCTGTACGTCCTGCTTGCGGATCAATAGATTGTCTTTATCTTCCCCGACTGATGCTTCACTTGAGTCATCTACACGTGAACTCTGCCTTTAAGTCCTCCTCTCACTTCCATTCCTCATTCGTGCTGAGGAGTTCTGAGCATTTGCCTGATCCTGCCAGTGAAGCTGTTTTTCCTCTGTATCTTAACTATGCTGTCTTTTAGGAGAAACCTCATCATCATGAAGGTGATGCTATTCTTCGACAGTTCGCTGTCAATCTGCATCGAATAGACAAGGACGTAGAGAGATGCGATAGAAATCTGATATTTTTCTCTAACAAAGAAAATTTAGAGAGCCTCCGGTGAGTTGCTCTAT